GGTCACACAGAACAATAAACCCAATATTTGAACCTGGCACTGTAATGTTGAACACGGGAAAACAAAGAAATAAAGTTAAAGCAAATAAAACATGCACCTTTCTCCACTTGACAACATTGCATCCTCTAATACCCCTGTTGTTTGCTAAATGCTTTCTGTGTTAAGATCACAGCATCCATTCAAGAGAAGAGAGCATACTGAATCACCTGGCTAATGTTTGTTACTGACAGTATTAAATAGTATTGATGGCTCTGAGGCAGTGTATGGTTTCTTAGTTGGAGGACTGTGTATTGGTAGTTCAGGTTCTGGAACAGCATAGAGTACAGAGATCTATGCAAGGGACCCGAGAGAGCATAATTAAAAATAGTTAATTTTCTACTTTGAGGTTTTTAAACAAACTGATTTGATGTTCCTTAACTGATTAAAATTTTGGCTTCATGAAAAAAACCCTGCCAAAACAGAAGCAAGGGATTTCATATTGTATTTCTGTCTGCAATGGGTAGGCAACACACTGAACCCTCCAATTTCCTTGCGAAAAAGGAATATTGAATTCCCAGAGCTCTTGACTCTTCTCTCTCAGCCAAGTGATATGATTTGTATTGGCCAGTTGCAGCAAAATTGGTATTGTTCCTCCAAACAACAAGAGTTTCCTTCAGTAAAGCAAAATTATGGAGTTGCTGAGATCCTCGATCAAGATTTCATTAAGGAATACTTAATTGCCCCACCTTCTAGAATTTATTCTGTCCTATTTCCACAAGGCACACATTTGAGACAGACACTGGCCCCATACTCACCTTGGAGCGGCTGAGGTATGGGAAAGAGCTATTAACGTCCAACTTCCCACTCATGTACCTAAACAACGATATCTGCAGCCACGAACACTGGGGCATACACCCCTTTCAGAGGACTGGGGGTGCGTGTGTGTGTAAAGAGTAATGACACGGATGCCATGTTGTGGCAGTCCCAAAGTAGCTGACTAAGTTGCTTGCACTTGCATCACAGATGCACAGAGCCTCCTGTAGATCAGGGGTGTTCAATTTTTAGCCTGCGAGTCAAATCCTGTCTGCAGCACCATGACAGTCAGCTCATGGGGCTCCGCAAGGGTCAGGAAATTTGGTAGCAGAGGAGCATTGGCAATGAATGCTGCCACCCCTCCCTGGCTGCCAAATTCCCAAATTTCACACTGCCAGATCAGCGTCAAGACACCACCCTGTTGGCTGGACTGGGCCCAAGCCATTGCTGTGCAGCTAGATTGGTCTCAGGACACCTCATATGCTCTGGCCTGATTGGGGCCAGGCTACATCACTGCATGTAGCTGGGTCACGCCTGGGACAGCCCCCTCCCTGCATCCAGATCAGGAGTAGGCTCTGCCAACCCACCACACAGCTGGATCGGGCCTGGGCCTGGCCCCCATCTACTTGGCATGGCAAGATTAGGCTTGGGCCCTGCATGCCCCTTGTGCCAGATTGACCCCGCTGACCAGATCCAGCCTATAGACAGACCACTGCTCATCTGGCCCATGCAGCAAAAAGACAGGACACCACTGTTCTAAATTGTCATCTGCTGCACCTTCATTGCTTCAGAAAACTGTGTCCAAACCCAGAAGCAGGCATCCAAGACCAGGTTAAACACATACACACAAAAACAATCTAACTTTCTATCCTGCCAGTTCATCATCCAATATACTTACAACATAGCAGTCATGAAGACTTCTCCATGTCTGCCACTAGAACAACACATGACTACTAGCAAGTCTTTTGTCCTATAGCTTAGTCCTATCTTCATTATACATCTAGTAGAAAAATTCATTGTACAAGCTACAGGAAGTGGGTCAGATTGAGCAGGTGGTACACCAGTTCAGCTGAATTGTCTACATTTATGTGTAATGTTAACATATTTATGTTTGTCTTCCAGACACAGACCTCTACAATCCCTGACCTATGAAGCTTACAGTCCAGATGAGCAACATACAACGAGGCAATAGAAGCAAGTAAACAGAAAAGTGACTAAGACCCAGCTGGACAGTGTATCATATTATTAAAGAATCAATTTGTGAGCAGCTAGAGGATGATAAGGTGATAAGACATAGCCAACAGATTTGCCAAGGGTAAATCATGTCAAATCAATCCAATTTCCTTCTTTGACAGGATAACCTGTTTAGTGTATAAGCAGCAGAGAATATGATGCCTTTTGATTTTAGCAAGGCTCTTGGCAATTGTCCCCCCACCACATAACATTCTTACAAGCTAAGGAAATATGTTCTAAATGAAAATAATAGAAGATGTGCTCCCAAGTGGTTGAGAATAATCTTTAAAGAGTAGTTATCTCTGGTTAGCTGTCAGACTGGGAAGACATACCAAGTGGAAGTTCATAGTACTAGATCCAAGACAGATTCCTTGGTATTTTCATTAATCATGGGGTCCTGAGACTGGAAAGGACCTCCAAGGATCATCTAAAGCAATGATTCACAAACAGGGTACCAGGACACTTTGGAGTGCTGTGAAATCCTTTTAAGTGTTTTATGGGAACTGTGAGGAGATAAGCAGATATGGGCAGGTGTAGGCTCCCCCTGCCTGGCTGCTCCCTCACCCCTACTGCCTGCTTCCTGCTGCAAGGAGATAAGCATTGTACTGAATAAATTAGGTTTTGAAATGGGGACCACTCAATTCACAAAAGTTATAGAGGAGTGCTTGGAATCTATAAAGGTTAAGAAACACTGATCTAGTCCAACTGTCCACAGAGGTACAGGGTTTACTGCTCCTAAAACAGCTTAGATCAGGGGTGGGCAATTATATCTGGCCTGTGGGCCGCATTTTGCCCACCCCTGGCTTAGATTATGTGAAAGAATGAAGCCACTTTTTCAAGCTTGCAATTGACAAACCTGGGAGGTGTTGCTAGTAACTTTGTAATATAAGACAGAAGTCAAAATGATCATAATATATTGGAATAATGGTTTTAAGTAATAAAAAGAAAATCAGTAAAGACAACTGCTGAAAGTTACACTTAAGGAAAAAATATTTAGGAATACTGAGGGAGGAAAAAATGGCGAACAACTAGGTAGGCAGTAACAGTGTAGAAAAATGATTCAGGGGTTTTAGTAGATCCCAAACATATATTATACCCAGTAACTGCACTGTTATGCCCAGGTTTGGGCATCACACTTTAAGACATACAAATAAGACAGATAAGAGTCTTGTAAGAGACGGGTCAGAGGGGAACAAGAATAACAGCTTCAAAAAACATGAGCTTTGAACGAAGTTAAAGGAAGGTGCATATACATGAGATGTTTGCTATAGACTAATTAGCTCTGCAGTAAACATTTCGCATCTACACATGCGGCCCTATTAGGGCGCAGGAAACTAATCAACCCCAACAGCAGGATAGAACTTGTAAATACAAGTAGTTGTGAATACAAGTACTATCCTGTTGTGGAGTTTTTCACTCAACAGCACTGCACACATAGACGCTGAAGTGGTTGGCTGAAGCATGAGGGTGTTTCAGTCTAGGGGTTGCCTCCCAGCTAGCCTCACACGAAACATCCGCAGCATGCTGAGCTGGGTCACAGCAGCCCTGGGCTGGTAGGCTGACTCCCCCTGCCTCCCCTCCCCCCTGCTTCCTAACCACCAGGGCTGCTCCAATCAGGCTCAATGTGCTGAGGATCCAGGCCCATGTGTAAATGTGATGCCCAGGAACAATAAACTCTGGCACAATAAGGGCCGGAGTGTATTGCTTTGCCTTAATAGCATGTGTAGATGCTCTCAGAATGGACTTTGTTTAATTTAGAAAGAGAAGACTAAGGAAGTCTATGGTAAGTCTTCCATTGCTTAAATGGTTGTTATGAAGAGAACAGCTCTCATTTGTTCTCCATGTGCATCAGCATCAGGACAAGTATACTTACTTGGCAGTGAAAGAGAGTCAGATTAGATGTGAGGAAAAAAAACTGTCTATTAGGGTACCAAAACACTGAAGCAGATTTCCTAGAGTGGTTGTGGAATGCTGATCAACATTGATTATTTTGAACAGATTGGACTGGTGGTGACCAAGACACAGCCCACAGGCCAGATAGGGCCCATGAAGCTATGTCATCTGGTACATGAGATTTCCCATGAATCTGGAAATTTGATGGGAAGGCATAAGGTAGCAGTGTTAATTGCTTCTTGAGGTACTACAATTAACGCTGGCACTGCTTGCCCTGCCACCAAAGTTCTAGACCAATGAGGAGCCCTGCAGATCAGATTTGGAGCACACAGCCACGTTTCCTGGCCTGTAAAGCATCCACATGGCTAGATATTTGGTGGTGGGAGGAATGGCTACTGCGGTTCTGGGAGCTGCAGCAATTAATGTTTCTATGGCAAAACTCCAGCCCCAGGGGCCAGGTGACACGCTCCAGCCCTGGGCCCATGCCATTCATCCAGCCTGTGGGGCCTGATGTGTCGGGCACCACTTGGTTAATCCCTCATTAAGTACATAGGTATGACCCACTTAACTATGTACGCTTCATTCTGTCTCACAGCAGGGGTATCAACTAAATATCATGTGAACCATTCTAGCCCTACCTTTGAGTGATTCTATGAACAAAACAGTTAACGTGTATCTGAAAAGTTACACAACATTTATATACTTTGAACAATTTTTCAGTTGATGAGTTAAGGACAAGGGAACAGCAGGCCAACAAAACAGAAATGTACAGGTTACCTACATAGAATTCTTTTAAATGAGTCAAGCAATTTATCCTAGGGTTGTCAACATGGGATAATTATCCATCTCAAAGATGTGCTGAGATAAGGGCAATTCAGTATTTTCTCTAAGATGATAAAGAATTACTACTACGTCAAAATAAAAAAAATCTGTTTATTGCAAGTGATTCTGTGTTAAAATATAAAAAGACAATTCTTTGGTTTCCTCCTGAACACTAGTGGAAAGTACAACCCATTTTAAACCAATGAAACAACACAGACCACATTGAATCATTCTGATAATCCTGACATTTTAAGACATACCTATTGTGCATCATACTGTACATCATATTCGTGTCTGGAATTATTTTATCTATGCCTGTTATTGAAATATGCATTTGTTTAAGACCAGTCATGAAATATTATATAACTTCCAGAGGAAAAATTATTAAAATTTGACATATTTTACAGGTGATATTCATAGATTTTCCTAATAAAGTCACAAATAAATTCAGATCAGGTCGTCTGGGATACAACCTTCTATCTGGATTTCAGCTGGCCAGCCGCTGTATCGGTTCCTCCTGTTGTCAGAATGGTTGATCTTTTAAAAAACAAAAACATCAATATTCATTTTATTTAACAGCTAACATCACTAATTTGACAAAATTCAGGTCTCAGTAAAACAGAGGGTAGAAGGAGAGAAAAAGAGGAGGGCTTGAAACTAACAAAGAAACTTGGTATTTTGCTTATTTTATCTGGCAGTAGTCTTCCACCAATTCTATAAACATTCTGCAAAATGCTTTACTTCTGGGAAAGATGTTATAACACAGAACCAATGATGGTATATTTTCACTGTAGGTATATGGTATTGGTAAGCAGCTCTCAAGAGCGTTCTGGAAAAAATAGCAATCTACGTATTGTCCATCTGCTTTTATAAAATGGAACATTTAGAAAAGGGAACACTGATTAGGTTAGATTAATCAATTTCTTGTGTCTCCTTGTAATACAGAAGCATAGTTATTGTGTTGGAAGGAGCATACAAAACAGAACATCTCTGCTGCAAATAGTAATTCTGATACGTAAATGACCACTTAAATTCTTCCTGAACTCTGAAGCCACCATTTTCAAACCCCACTTGTGATTTCTGCATCTTTAAGCCTGTGTACCCAACTTGAGACATTTTAATAAGAGGTCCTAATTTACATACAGTGCTGAGCTTTTTTTCCTGAGAATCAAGACTCCCTAAATCACCAGTCACTTTTAGATATTTGTTTCCAGAAAGAAGTTGAAGTAGGACATCATAGAGTGTTATGGATATTACATTTAAAATTAAAAAACCCAACCCAAACTAGACAACAAAACACAAACCCAACCTTTTCTTTCTCAATATTATCTGGTAACTTGAAACCTTTGGCAGCTATGAAGACCCAGCTTGACCTGAACTTCATATTCCTTATTTCTTTACTGCCCAGCTCTTCTATTACTCGTTTTCCATCATCTTTCAATCTAGAAAAAATAAACTATTTAGCACAGAAATCTTTCAGATGCATGGCTTTAAAAATAACATGAAGAAGGACACATAAGAAATGCCATAAGGAAGGATACCATGTCAATATTTTACTTTGCTATTTCTGTTGATCTATCAGTGGACAGTTTTCTAAAGCTTCCTGTATCTTTCCACTGGAGAGCTCTCTACTCACATGCCATCACATTCCCATAGCCAAGCTCCACCCCTGCTACACCTGTGCAGATTCACTGTTTGAGTTTCAAAGGAGGAACAGAGGGGAGAGTCTGTGATGAACAATAGTGACTGACATTTTGCCTGGTTTCCCAGTATATTCTCTGAATACGTGGCTAAAAAGTGTTACCTCTAAGAACTACATATTTAATATAATATACTTTGGGTTTAAAATTTCCCAAACTAAAAACCGAAAAAATTGAAAGAATCAAGTTAAGGCGTGTGGAAGGATACAGAATAGATGCATTACTGTAACTGGAATTACGGATCCTATTGCAATGGAAGATTGCCGTTACCAGTTAGTTACAATTATCTATTATCAAAAAACTGAATCCCCGTGTCAAGGATTCTGAATTTTCTGTATCTTTGAAGATATACAGTGGAATCTAAGGCCATGTACCACACCCAGTAGGAATGCCCTCAAACATACCACATGGCTCTGGCTGTGCTACCAGCCATGTGGAAACTGTAGTTGTGTCCACAAGGCACTGAGGACAGACTTATTTACCATGCTCATCAGCACCAGTCTGCCTGTTCTCAGTGCAATATATATTTGGCTTTGATGCTGCTGGTCAGATAGCAGTAGGGTTGTGTGAAGCTTCAGTAGTCGATTCGATTTGGAGGAGATTTGGCCTGATTTGGATACCGAATCTCTGAATCCAAATTAAAAGATTTGGTGATTCGGTCATAGGCTAACAGGCAGCTGACACAGCTGCCTCCATCTGGTAAGTCTGTTGGGGTTGGTGAAGGGGGAGGGAAGGATTGGGGCTGGGACAAGCTGCTCAGCTGGGGTGGGGGGCATGGGATGCGGGCATGGCAGTGCCCGGAGCGGAGGCTATGCCCTGCTGCCACTTGCCCAGCCAGGGTGGGGAGGGGAGGGGTGGGATGCAAACACAGCTTGCTCCTGTTGGCTTAGAAACGGTATTTAAAGGCCTGTTTTTTGGGAACTGGTTTATAGGTATAGATATATGCATTATAAGGGGTCAAGATGGGCAGTGGGGGTTAAATGGATTTCTAAAGAGCTTGGGAAGACACACATACAGCTTCTCATGGCCCTGGAAGTAGACAGGCTGTCTAGCACAACAAGGCCAACAAGGACACATGGTCTAAGAAATAGCCTGGGAACCAAAGAACTATGTACCATACTGTCCCATAACACAAGATAAGTAACATCAGCAACAAGGCCTCAGAGAGCAGAGGGGCCCAAGTCCCGGTTTTGGGGGAACCGCCCAAATTAGGAGAAGGCTCGGAAGGCTACGTGGATGTGTGACCACAGAGAGACAACCAACCAGAGATACCCACGGATGAAGAGTCATCAAGAGTCATCAAGGGGGTAGGAGAATGTGGTGGGCCAGTAGGGGGTGCTCCTGTGCTGAGCCACCCACTTCACTGTGCCCGACCACCTTCCAGACTCTGAGTGCCTCCTTGGGGGTGCCTCACATCTGGCCGACCCCCTTCCTGGAGCACACCCGCTAGCCTAGGAGTAGAGCTGCCACCACCCAGAGATGAGCTTGATTCTGGCACGGTGTCCCCTGGGAAACACAGGCCTAGTAGCCCTTGAGGGTATTTGACTCACTTCAAGAACTTGGGGTGCCCCCCTCAGTCAGAAGCACAAGTAGTGGTCTCCCTTAGTCAGCCGAACCAAGGGGACCCCAAGGCATAATCTAGACCCGCTCCCAATAAATCTCCCACGCTAGGTACAAAAGAGAACTTTATTGGTTACAAGGAATAGGGTTGGAATAGGGTACAGAGTTGAGTAGTATCAGAGAAATCCCATGGAACAAACAGGGTGGCTGGAATGGCCTTTGATCACACATCTGAGTTACTGCAAGCTATATTTATAGTTAGATCTCAAGTAGCTTACCCACAGGTATCATCCAAAGGCAGGTAGAGATTCCCTCTGGAGGCAGGCAGTTCATTGATCATGAGTTTTGAGAGAGAGAGAGCAAGTTTCAGATGGTCCAGCTCTCTCTCTCTGAGTTTTCATCATGGCTACTGCTGCTCCTCCTGGGCAGTCCTTAACTTATATAGCCCTTATGACCTCATTTACCTGGCCCAATGGAGGCCAGCACCTGTTGGTTGCCAACCAACCAATTTGAAATGCATCACTGGTTGCGGGGCAGACTGACAGTCTCTAGCCCACTAGAGAGCCCAAGCCCCTCACCTAAGTATGTGATGCCAGTCACGTAGGCAGAGAAAGCAGGTTTTCCCCCTCTCTCAGGAATGTATCCAGCTCAGCTCAGGTTACCTAAAGAGACAGAGTAAGGTGTGCACCCTCTGCAGGGCCCATCCTAACCAAATTGTCACAGAGCAGAGTTTTTGGGGAGAAACAGAGGTGGTCTTCTGCCACAGAGAATACAATAGCAGAGACTTGAGATCAACAAAGGGTCCCTCCCTGTTCCTTCTCATGCCTGCCCATCTTGCTCCCTGAGAGGAGTCCCCATCTCTGTCCCCCAGAAAGGGTCCTTGAAGTCACCATGGACTGAGGGCATACCAGCAGCCCATCTCATACACCCCACTGGAGTGGGGCTGTAGGTCTTGTCATCCCACCTCCAGACTGCTGACACTCAAGAGAGGCACAGCCTCAGAGTAAGCCTGCATCCTGACCAGATGTACTTTGACTCTGATGACAGCCCTAGGATTGGTGGATATAGAATTGTTTGATTGTCTGTACTGTTGCTTTTTTGTTCTTACTCTGTATCAATAAATTTGCCCATTATCAACCGGCAGGTGTTGTGGTCAGTCTGAGGGTTATGCCCACCCGGACAAAGTTACAGTGCTGGGTCCAAATCCAGTATCAACAGCTCCAGGTAGAAGGGGGCAAGCAGCAGCAAGGCATAGCTCCTGCTCCCAGCACTGCCATGCTTGCATCCCACGCCCTGCTGCGCCAGCTGGGCAAGCGGCGGCACTGCCCACCCCCCTGCGCCAGCTGGCAAGCAATGACAGGACAGAGTCCCCACTCCCAGTGCTGATGTGGGCGTGGCAGCGCAGGGGCTATGCCCTGCTGCCACTTGCTCAGGCAGCGCGGGGGGAGGGGGGAACAATGCAGGCGTGGTAGTGCTGGAAGCAGGGGGTTATGCCTGGCTACAGCTTGCCCCTTTCTGCTCAGAGCGAGCCATGCCCACATCCTGCCACCCCCTTGCTCCCCCCCAGCTGGGCAAGCAGCAGCAGGGCATAGCCCCCAATCTGAGTGCTTGCTGCACCCATAGCATGCCCCCTGCCCCCCTCCCCAAGTAATGTGGCCCCCCACCCTGGCTAGGCAGCTTGGCCCAGCCCTAATCCCTTAGTCCCCTTCGTTCCCTTGTCTCCCAACCCCAACAGACTTACCAGCTGGAGACAGCTGTTAGCTGCCTGTTTAGTTTATGGCTGAATCTCTGAAGTGGCACCAAGTCTTTTGGATCTGATTCGGCCAAATCTAAATCAGGACAGTGATTTGAATCTCCGTATCAAATCACTGTCCTCCAATTCAGACAAATCCGAATCCGAAGTGAATGCTTGCTGCTTCACACAGGCCTAGATAGTAGCATGTATGGAGCGTCACAATGTGTTTGGGAGCGCTGCTACTGGGTACAGTAAGTTTCAGGTCTTGAGCTGGCCCGAGAATCTTTGAGA